GGAACTTTTTTATATCCATAAAGCAAAGAATGCTTTACTGCATACTTTTATTATCTATCCTTTTGCTTCTTATAACCGGGTTTTGAGATCAAAAAACTTAAAGGAGGCATTATAATCCCTAAAATTATTTCGACTTACATCAGTGATCCAAGCTTGACACTGAATGCTCAGCACCCCCTCTATCAATAATTTGCTATGCTGTGCATCTAAATTAGACATAATATCATCGAGCAATAAAATTGGTGCTGTATTAGAGTGAATGCACCTTGCTTTTACGCCAGACAAATAATAGAAAGCAATAATAATTGTTGTTCCCCAGCGGAGCATAGGTTGATAGGTATGTTCCCTTTTTGACAAAAAACTTGGAAGTTATCGTTATATATAACGAAATTCACTCTACTAGTTAATAAATCTCTTCTCTATTTTTCTTTAGAAAGTTTTGATAATCTTCTGCGGTATTAGCAGAAGTAAACTGGCTACTTATTTTTAGGTGCGCCTTTGGAAAAAACTTAGTGGAATCTTTATCAATGGTATCCTGTAACATTTTTAAAACAGATGCTCTCATGCGCGAAACGTTCATCGCGCTAGCAACCATTATGTTTTCAAGGCTAATAAGCCAATTTTCATCCGCAATGCTATCCCTTAATAATTTACTTCTTTCATGTTTCGCCTTTTGATATTTGATGTAATGATAAGTATAGTTATCTTTAAACATTGAAGCTATACGATCCAAAAATTTTAATCTTTCACTTGGGGGGTGACAAGTATGTAATCCATCTGTGGAATGAGCCATATTACGTTAGATGTTTTGTACAAAGATAAGTAACTTGACTGTACTTTATTATCAATTTGAACCAACTTTTTGTTAAAGTTTTTTTTGCAATTCCGATAGAGTTAGAATCTAACCCATTAAAAAAAACATAATGCACTGCCCAATTTTCATTAGTGAGTCTACTTTGCATCTCATTAATTTTTGCTTTTTTCATCCCATTATTTTTAGCAAGTAACGAAATTACCTCAAGTATATTAGTCTTACCTACGCCATTTTACCAACTATCACGATAGTGAATCTCCTGATTCTATTCAAAATTCAAGTAGTTACGAAATTATGTAGTCTCAAATTTTCTACACAGCAGTAATTAAACATTAAAAACAATGGATGGCAATCTATCTATATATCAAATAAATGCTTACCGAAACG